AAGATTTCTAAGGGGCAGTGGTCCGACAGGTCTCGTGGTAGAATATTAATTTCCTTCACTTTGGCAGAGAGCTTCCTAGTTATCCATACCATGTCAATCCTAGACCATGACTGATGTCTATTTGAGAAGAAAGTATAGTCTTTTTTATCTTTATTTCTATTCCTCCATACATCTTCTAAGTCAAATTCTCTTTGAAGTTCCATAAATTTTTGTGGTAGCGTACCTTCCTTTGTTTTTCTCTTCTTCACACTTTTATCCATTTGGTAATCAATTACCCCATTAAAGTCTCCTACCAAGATCATATCGTCAAATTCCACTTCTTTCAATTTGGAATTTAGGAATTCAATGAATTTTAACTTTGGGCCATTTGGGGCATAGATATTACAAATCAAAATTTTCGAGTCTCCCATTATTATCTTTACTGCCACGCACCTTCCCTCCAAATCTCTAAAAGCCAATTCTGATTCTATTGTTTCTTTTACATACGTCACCACTCCTCTTTTCTTTTTCTCATATGACGAGTGATACTCTTTTCCTAATTTTTTATTGGAGAGATGTGCAACATGTTTGTCACAAATGTGTGTTTCCTGTAGAGCTATTACATCATAGCTCAACTTCTTTAAACTATTCCATACTTTCTTACGTTTTTGAGGAGAGTTCAGACCATTAATGTTGTTTGAAAAACATTTTATTTGACGCTCCATCATATTATTCATTCCCGTCCAAGCCCAGTCCCATGTCGCCAAATGCCATTTTCACTGATCCAGTTGTAGATTGTTCCGAACTCTGGTCTTTTCTTTCTTCTTTTCGTGGTGTCGATCTCGGTGGTTTTGGGTCTTTCAAGAGATAACTATATTCCTTTGGTGATTTGTACCTTGCTATTTTATTTTTAATTCCCTTTCTTCGTCTCCTTCTGCTTCTGCTCCTTCTTCATCCTCTGCTTCTCCCATCTCTTCTTCTCCTTCCGTTTCTTTCATAAGTTTGTCATAGAATACTTTTGCCTTCTGTTCAGATGTCAGCCAATGCCTTTCTTCATTATAAGTCACCATTATTCCTTCTCTTCTTTCCCACCTATATCTTATCTCTCTTTTTTTCAGTTTTTCTGTTAGGAAGAAGTACTTTCTTCTTCTAGCTAAGGTCATCTGTGGGAATTCCTTCAGCACAGCAATTTTCTTTTCTTTGTAATAAATTGGGTTTCTATTACTTTTGTACAAAACGTCATCCCTCACCTTCTTCCTTGTAAATTTCACAATCACGTCTCTTGCGGTTTTATTTTTCCTCGCGTAAAAAGATGAAATTCTGTAAATTTGGTCCACTTCTTGTTCAAATTCATCTTCCTCACATTCCATACAACTTGCCAACATTTTGATTACCAATTGTCTAATATCTTCTTTTTCTTCCTCCACAATATTTCTAAGTCTCAGTTGAAAGTCCATTTGAATCTGAAGCAATTTCTCTTGTTTTAACTCCATTTTCTCCCTTTGTTTATCCAATCCTTTTATCTTCTGTGCCAATTCTGTTTGGGTTCCCTCTATCTTCTCCTTGGAGACTTTTAAGTCTTTCACATCTCCATGCAGTTGCGATATATCTTTTTTCATCTGACCGAATTCTTCTTTTATCTCAGTTTTCATTGCTTTGAATTCTTCCGTCATCTTTGTAATAATTCCTTCCTGTTTCTTGTAGTATTCATCATATTTCGTTGTAACCTCGTTCTTCAATTCCACCTTTAGTGCATCTTGTTTTTCTGATATTTTTTTTATTTCTTTCAGTAGGTTGTCCATCTTCGGATTTATATCTAAGGATCCTCTCCGGGATTCTGGTTTGCCTTGGGTGGTCATTTAGAATCCTTTCCCCAAATTCTTCTTATTCTTATCAATTTCCAGTTTCCAAGAAAATGGATATTCACTTTCTCCCCTCTATCAATTTCCAGTTTGTGAATTGTCAATTAATAATCTAATCAATATTTTTATATCCAATTCATTAACTTAATTTAATTTAATTAATTAATTTAATTAATTAAATTTAGAATAAAAAAAGACCAATTGATTTATCTTTGGTAGTTGACTAGTTCTGATTTAATTATGAATTATAAATTAGTTGTAATGATGAAATTTTTGCAGAGCTATAAAGTTAATAGATTAGTAAATTAATTATAAAATTTAAGATAACTATAGATATTCCAATTGAATTAATTTCAGCTTTTCCACCTTTCTTCTTCTATTTAATTCCTTTAAAATTCGTCTGCTTCTCGTCCTCACTTTATCTCTTCAATTTCGTCTGCTTCTCGTCCTCGTCTATGGTGATGAATTCGTCTACTTCTCTTCCTGGCCTCCACCCTTCGATCGTCTGCTTCTCGTCCTCGTTCCGTCTACTTCTCGTCCTCGATCTGTCACCTCCTGTCTTCTACTTCACCTCCTGGTCTTCGGACTCTTCACTTTATAGTTTAATTAATCAAATTTGTTTGATTTTTGAAAAAAATTAATTTTTATTTCGGCCGCTCTATATCGAACTTTCTCTGTGGTTTTCAAAATGGCTTCCTTCCTCCTTCCGCCCCGTCACTTCCGCCCTTCCATCCTTTCCTTGATCCTTCCGATCTTCCTGTCTGTCACTTCCTGTCTCCGCCTTCCGTTGTCGTCACTTCCTTTCCCGCCGACACAGCTTGATTGTTTATAGAGAAGGCCGAAGATAGACACAACAATGATGGCGTCAAGGTCGGAGAATTCGCCACTTATATATCCAATCGGGGGGGGGGGGGGGGACGGGCAAGGGATATCAAATCTGCTCAGTCTCCTTTATTTTGGATTAAATTAAAAAATAGAGCGGCCTTTGGAAATTCAAATTGCCAATTTATATTATATTCTATATTCTAATTGCTTGTTTATAAATTTACTAATTTCTGTTCTTTAAAAAATTTATACTTTAATTTAAATCCGGAAATCCCAGTCTTATATTGCTTCCTCTTTATTTTCTACGGCTTCTTTTCTTTATTTCTTTGTCTTTCTATAGACCTCCAGGCTATTTCTAGCCTGCGTTTCTTACTTTGTAAAATAGTTGGGAGATATAGTTCCCGTTACCTGAGATTGGGGTCTTTCTTGTATCTCCCCCTCATTGGGGGTTTCTTTTTTCTTCTTTCTTGCTTTGCTGTGAATGGGTTGACGGCGGTTGAACGTGCCTTTCGGCTCGATCCTCGTGGGGTGGCTCGCTTTCCCCTGTGTTGCTCGGACCCTCTCGACCTCTCCTCCTTGAGGGGGGAGGGGTCTTTGGGGTCTTCAAGCCCACCTTGGGATTTGCGACACCTTTGCAACTCGATCCGGCAAAGGGGGGAGCCTTAGGCTCAACCAAAGCCACCACTACACAGGTCCTCGTCAGGAGCTCGCTCTTAACGAGGCTTCCCCATCGCCATGTCCACCGGAAGTCCAGCCACCCCTGTTCTTGAGGGCCCTGGAGTCTGAAGGAGCGGGACAGTACTCCCCCCCCGCCCCTTATTTCGCCCTCCAAAACTTATTCAAGGGGCCTCTCCGGAGAGTACTCCTGGTGTGCAGAAAGCCCTTCTCCCTCTCCTACACCATTTTCGTGCGTCAGGAGTACTATCCAGAGGGGACTGTGCTGCTGGCAGACCCCTTGCGTAAGTTTTTTTTGAGGGGGGGGGTATGCTATTGCATATAGCCACCCTCCAAGAAAAGGCCTGAGGTATGGGTTGGGGGTGAGGACAGAAATCTGGGAGGAACTGGGTTAAAAAAAACCCAGTTCCTCCTGAATTTGGGGCCTGTGTAGAAGTGCCCTGATATTCAGCTTATTGTCTATGGCAGTGTAATTGAGTTCAAAGCAGATAATGTGGATTATCTGCTTTGATAATCTGGATTGTATGACAGTGTAGAAGAGGCCCAAGACGCCTAATCCCTTTCACATGTACTGTTTTCAAGCCATTTGTCGCCCATCCTATGTCTGTACCTTTCATTTTATTTATTTATTTCTTGTATTTATATCCCGTCTCTTCTCTACCCCAATGTAATCTCAGCTGCATTAAGATCACTCTGACCAAAAGGTTTCCAACCAATTGTGTAACCTGTTGTCGATCTTTGCAACCCGAAAGATAGTTGCATCTGTCAAGTAGGAAAATAAGGTACCACCTTAAAGTGTGGGGAGGCTAAATTAATTCATTTATGAGGCCATAAAAAAAAAAAGACTCCAGCAGAAGCATGCAGGGAATGCGGAAGTACTTCATCAGTGTTGCAGATGGACAATGAAAGCGACAGCTCCCCTGGCGGCCAGAAAAAAAAGGTTAAATAGCCTCTGTCTATGTCTGTATATGTTGTATGTCAAAAATTGGCATTGAATGTTTGCCATTTATGTGTACACTGTACAGGGGACTCAATATTTAACCTGAGTCCCCTGCGGGGTGAGAAGGGCGGAATATAAAAGCTGTAAATAAATAATAATAATAAATAAAAGGGGGACTCAGGATGGCTGGCATAGGCAGCAATTCAATGCCATTATATGAACAATTAATACAATAACCATTAAACAAACCACCAAACCATTAAAATACATAAACCATTAATTAAACAATATAAAATATTTGTTACCAAATAGAATCGTATCCTCATGTAAATCGCTTTTCCAATCCATTTCGACTAAAGTGCTAATTTATGTCTGCTGACCGAAAGCCTGGTCCCATAGCCATGATTTTACTTTCTTCCTGAAAGCCAGGAGGGATGGGATTGATCGTATCTCACTCAGAAGCACGTTCCACAAGTGGGGGGCCACCACCGAGAAGACCCTGTCTCTCGTCCCCCACCAGCCACATTTGTGATGTTGGTGGGAGCGAGACCAGGGCCTCCCCTGATGCTTAAGTGTTGTACCATACATTTCTCTCTGTTGAACTCCATTTTGTTAGTTTTGGTTCAGATCTTTGATCTGTAAAATTAATTTTCGATCTCTTTCAATCTTAAAATCATAAAACTTGTATAGTTGACTGAATTGCTTTGCTTTGTTTCTAGTGTCGTCCATCCAGAGGCCGAAAGAGAGGCTATTGCTGGTGTGTGGATAAATATGGACAGCCACTCCCTGGATATGATGGAAAAGGAAAAGAGGATATTCATTGTTACAGTTTTGAAAGCAAGTGAGAGACATTATTACCTGCCATGATATCAGTGTGTGGCATCTTGTTTTGTCAGAGGCCTTGAAGTGACTAAGACAGTATTTAACTAAACTGGACTTTGGGGTTCTGAGGCTTACCCCCTATTTTTATTAGGGGATTCAATGATTCTATGGACTGTGCAGCTGCAGCCTGGCACTGACATACTTTTAGTTTTTCCATAGATTTACACAGAGAGCTCTGAAATTCTAAATAAATGCACTATTAATCCCCATAAAGAATAATAAGAAAAGGCACTTCAGAATAGATTCAGGGAGTCTCCACTGACTTTTTGTTTGTTTGTTTCATTTTTAAAATCATGGTGTGTGGCCAATTTGATCCCGAGAGATCATTCGTGCTTTTGTCTTGAAGAATTTAAAGACTACAAGCTTCGTAAAGATATTAAATATATTGGGTATGGCCCTGCCTAAGCTAAGCACTTTCAAGTCACACAGAGTTCACCTGGATAGCTAAGCATGAGCTCTATTATTTCCCAGATTGAAGAGACTTAGAAATGCTTAGCTTGAATTGGATTGTGTCCAAGTGGTTTTTTTTTAATGTAAGTCTGATGGGAAGCTTATCATGACGGGTAAAAATGCTTTATTAAAAGAAAGCTCAATGATTTTTTAAAATGCAACGTATTTCTATATATGCCCTGTTTTTGTTCTGTAAAATGTACTTATTATGAACATTCTGTTAGTCTGTATTTAATATGTATAAATTTTTAAAATAAACTATTTAATGATATAACATGGATATTCAAATATTATAGATTTATTACAATTAAGGTGTTGGAATCACAGACACCTTAAAGGACCAGACTCAAAAGTGTCTTCAAAACTAAGGAAAAAGGACGCAGAGGTACTAAATGCAGTGCCACTGGTCAAAACTCAAGAAACAAACCAGACCTGGTCCAAGCAGGTTAACAGAAATATAATCCAGATTAACTGGAATAGGGAAAATAAAAACGAATCAAACAAGGTGCTCTGAGGCAAAACACAAAGGCACAGTACACAACTGGTTAACAAAAAAAAAAATGGAGGGGCCGCAGAAAGAGAAGCGTCGTCAGGCGAAGTCCAGGGTTGAAACGAGAAATTCGAAACAGCGCTGCTCCAGTGTCCGCAGAAGCAGCGTCTTTAGTCGAACTGGTCCAGGTCCAGGAAGGGAGAATTCCACATTCGCGAGAAGCCAATCCAGGTTAATAACACGCGAACGATCAGGAGGTCCAAACTGCAGATCCTAAACCAACGCCGAACACGAAACAGGCAGCAACAAGTCTACAAGAATCTTTTCCAATACACAGCACCCAACACGCAAACACTCATCAACACCTTGCCTTCTGCAAGGACCCATCACCCCTGAATCCACTTTTATTTACAAATCATCATCAGAAGATGAATTGACCACCGGCCCATCATTATCCCCCACAGCAACTCCCAGCTCTTCATGTGAATTCCCTTTTCCTTCCCTCCAATTCCTCCATCTCCTGTCAAGACTTCGGTCCCCCCAAAACTCAGTTGTATCCCGATTGCCTGATTGCCAGTCTTCACCCCCAGAGTGCCACTACGACAGTAGCAGCACCAGGGAAGCCTACTCGGCCGGGACGCAGAAGCCCGGGCCTTGGGCAACAAGTGGGAGCCCGGCAGGAAGGCCTCCTCCTCCTCCTGCTCCTCCTCCTCCTCTTCTCTGAGGCGCCATAGGGAAATGTGGGACGAGCAAGACACTCCCAACAGATGGCCATTCTTTCGGGTTGCAAAGGTCGACAACAGGCTACACAATTGGTTGGAAACCCACTCCAACCTGGGCTGGCTTCGAACTCATGGCCTTTTGGTCAGAGCGATCTTAATGCAGCTGACACTCAGCCAGCTGTGCCACAATCCCAGTGTATATATGCTGTGCTCCACCCTGAGTCCCCTTCGGGATGAGAAGGGTGGAATATAAATGTTTTAAATACATAAATAAATATTGATCTATCATATGGGAAACCAAACGATGAGACTGTAATCACAATTTATGTTACAAAGAGCAGTAAACAGCCATACATGGCTCCTGGTTAGAAAAAGGGAATCAAGCTAATAGTGCCTATAGACAGGTCTGTTGTCTATCAAGCTACTTGAGAAAATATCCTTTTTTGCAATCCACATACAGTGCAATAGTCTTTGGAGCTCAGAATATCACCTTCCACTTCTCTGGCATGCAGGAGCTAGAAAGACTATTTGTGCACAAGGAGGAGGAAGGTTCAATGCATACCAAAACCACAGAATTAATTAGTTTTTAGTACAGTCTGATCTTTTTATGACTAAATTCCATAGAAACATTAGTACAGCATAATCCCTTATTGACCTGGGCCCTAAAATTAAGTAACGCTTTTTATAAATCTTTGGGGAAATCATTTTTGGTATCTCTGCCGACTCTTAAAAATGGAGTGACCAGTTTTTAAGGATGACTCCACAGGGATTTTCTGTTTTAGCTATTCAAATGGCACACAAAGTAGGGAAAGTGCTGAGTAATTTTGCTAGATGGCAGGAGCTGAACATTGAAAAGAAAGGTTTACACGGAAAACTGGCTTGAAAATGGGCCATTTATACATTTGAAAGTTATAATGGGTGTTGATAGAAAGAATATGTTCAATGTATTCATGCCTTCGCCTCTCCCCAGCCCCAGGGGTAATTTATTTGTGTCTATTTCAATCAACATATTTTTAACAGAGCAACAGCTTTCCAAAGCTGCTGCCTTTAACAAGGATGCAAGACGTTGAGTAGTAAGAGCACTCAAAGCAGAGAACCCTCCCTCAAAGAGTACCTGGGTAGAAAGAACAGGGTGTGACCAAAAGACCAAAGTAGAGTCATGCTGAAAATGAAAATATTATAAACTCTTGGGAACTGTATGGAAAGCAAGGAGTCTTTCCCATTGCTCAGTTCTAACACTTATACAACACTCTTAATTATTATTATTTATTATTTACAATATTTCTATACCGCTTTTCTCACTCTTAGAGGGACTCAAAGCGGTTTACACTGGGATTGTGGTGCAGCTGGCTGAGTGTCAGCTGCATTAAGATCACTCTGACCAAAAGGTCATGAGTTCAAAGCCAGCCCAGGTTGGAGTGGGTTTCCAACCAATTGTGTAGCCTGTTGTCGACCTTTGCAACCCGAAAGACAGTTGCATCTGTCAAGTAGGAAAATTAGGTACCACCTTAAAGTGTGGGGAGGCTGAATTAACTAATTTATGAAGCCATAAAGAAGACTCCAGCAAAGCATTCCAGCAGGGAAGCATGCGGGGACTGCGGAAGTACTTCATCAGCGTCGCAGATGGACGATGAAAGCGACAGCTCCCCTGGCGGCCAGAAAAAGTTAAATAGCCTCTGTGTATGTCTGTATATGTTTGTATGTCAAAAATTGGCATTGAATGTTTGCCATATATGTGTACACTGTAATCCGCCCTGCGGGGTGAGAAGGGCGGAATATAAAAGCGGTAAAAAAATAAATAATTAAATAAATACACATAACTGACAAAACTCCATGCCATACATTGGACACTGACGCGATGCCAAACCATAACAACCACAATAATAAAACCACAATTAAACATCAATCATAATTAGACAGTACATAAGCAATCATTAAAACAATAAATAATAAAAACAGTCTCGCCAGTCGTATTGTCATTCTAGTCCATGTCCTTTAAATTCTATAAACATCTACTGTCCGAAGGCCTGATCCCAAAGCCATGATTTTAATTTCTTTCTAAAAGCCAGGAGGGAGGGAGCAGATCTTACCTCATTTGGGAGTGTGTCCATAGGCGAGGGGCCATCACCGAGAAGGCCCTGTCTCTCGTCCCCGCCAGATGTATTTGTGCAATTGACGGGAGCGAGAGCAGGGCCTCTCCGGATGATCTTAGATTACGAGATGGGACATAGGGGTGGATGCGTTCGGACAAGTAGGCTGGGCCAGAACCGTATAGAGCTTTATAGATCAAAACCAGCACTTTGAGTTGGGCTCGGAGATGGACTGACAGCCAGTGGAGCTGGCACAACAGGGGGTGGTATGCTCCCTGTTTGCTGCCCCAGTTAGTAATCTGGCTGCCACCCCATTGGACTAGCTGAAGTTTCCGAACCGTCTTCAAAGGCAGCCCCACGTAGAGCGCGTTGCAGTAATCTATTCAGCATGTAACCAGAGCATGGACGACCATAGCCAGATCAGACTTCCCAAGGTACGGGCGCAGCTGGTGCACGAGTTTTAACTGTGCAAAAGCTCCCCTGGCCACCACCGAAACCTGGGGTTCCAGGCTCAGCGATGAATATTTATTTATTTATTATTTATTTACTCTATTTGTATACCGCATATATCAGCCTGAGGCGGCGACTCAATGCGGTTTACAATAAAACAACACTAAACAATGTATGAGACACACAATACAGACAAACACATAATCATCAACGCCACACTTAGAATCAGATTCCGATCTCAAAATCCTTTTTCCATTCCTTGTCCGATGCCGTCATTATTGAGTTAATTGCCAAAAGCCTGCTCGTAGACCCACGTCTTCACCCTCCTCCGAAACACCAGTAACGAAGGGGCCTGCCTGATGTCCACCGGTAACGCATTCCATAGCCGAGGGGCCACCACCGAGAAGGCCCTGTCTCTCGTGCCCGCCAGCCGCACTTGTGACGCCGGCGGAACCGAGAGCAGGGCCTCCCCGGAAGATCTTAACGCTCTTCCCGGTTCGTAGGAGGAGATGCGTTCGGAGAGGTAAGTGGGGCCGGAACCGTGTAGGGCTTTATAGGCTAAAGCCAGCACCTTAAATTGTGCCCGGTAGCGAATTGGCAGCCAGTGGAGCTGGTTCAGCAGGGGGGTGGTGTGCTCCCTGAGAGCCGCTCCCGTTAGCAACCTGGCTGCCGAGCGCTGGACCATCTGAAGCTTCCGGGCAGTCTTCAAGGGCAACCCCACGTAGAGCGCGTTGCAGTAGTCTATACGGGATGTGACAAGAGCGTGGACTACCGTAGCCAAGTCCGACCTCCCAAGATACGGGCGCAGCTGGCGCACGAGCCGAAGCTGTGCAAATGCTCCTCTGGAAACCGCCGAGACTTGGGGTTCCAAGCTTAGCGAAGAATCCAGAGTCACACCCAAGCTGCGAACCTGCGTCTTCAGGGGGAGTGCGACCCCGTCCAACACAGGCTGTAACCCTATACCCTGTTCGGCCTTTCGACTGACTAGGAGTACCTCTGTCTTGTCTGGATTGAGTTTCAATTTGTTCACCCTCATCCAGTCCGACACAGCAGCCAAGCACCGGTTCAGGACCTGGACAGCCTCCTTAGTAGTAGGTGGAAAGGAGTGACAGAGCTGGACGTCATCTGCGTACAGATAACACCTCACCCCGAAACTCCGGATGATCTCTCCCAACGGCTTCATGTAGATGTTAAACAGCATGGGGGACAGAATTGAACCCTGCGGGACCCCACAAATCAATGGTTGTGAGGACGAGCAGGTGTCCCCCAGTAACACCTTCTGGGTACGACCCTCCAGAAATGACTGGAGCCACTGCAGAGCAGTGCCCCCAAGGCCCATTTCCGCAAGGCGTCCCAGAAGGATACCGTGGTCGACGGTATCGAAGGCCGCTGAGAGGTCCAGCAGAACCAACAGGGACACACTCCCCCTGTCAAGCTCACGCCGGAGATCATCCACTAAGGCGACCAAGGCTGTCTCGGTACCATGTCCCGGCCTAAAGCCAGACTGTGCCGGATCCAGATAATCAGTGTCTACCAAGAATGCTGGAGTTGTGAGGCCACCACACGTTCCAGGACTTTGCCCAAAAAGGGGAGATTGGAAACAGGCCGATAGTTGACGAATTG